CATCTTTCAAAAGCACATGTGTTGGCTCAATGACGTGGAGTGGATCCCTCAAGTATTCTCAAAGCATCGATACATGAAAGACGTTATGCATATGCTCCATTACAGATGTCGAAGAGGAACCAAGGGCTGAGGCCGAACCAATTGCAGTGACTGAGCCTGTTGCGGAGGCTGAGCCGATTGGTGAGACTAAGGTTACAGATATAGGGAGAGATAATGATGCCCCATTTGTCGAAAGTGAACAAGTTCCCCCTGCTATGGGAGTTGCAAAGAGTGTAGTTGCTGAGGGTGAAGAGCCCTCAAACCTTGTTGATTATGCTCGTTCTGACCTTTCCTCTGTCGGTGGAGAGGATTTTCTCCCTAAGGTCCTAAGGGAAGATTGGGGCGTAAGAGAGCCGCTGGAAGTTGCACCACCTCCTTTTGAAGCTGTCTCTGGTTGTTCTTTCCAATCCATTGAGTCTCCATTAGTTAAACAGACCCCACTTCCAAACGTCCAAGTGGCTGAGGGGAGTGCAAGTGTAGCGGCTGCTTCCACTATTCCGACTGTGGTCCCCCAAAATTTAGACCGACTTGCAGAGGTAGCTGTCACCCTAACCACTCATGTTGTTACTGCTGTCACTGGGACCTATGACCCGATTGCTTCGGCAACCTTCGAGCAACTCGCAGACCTATACCCCACTCATTTTTCTGAAGTGCCAGCTAACATTGGGGTATCCCAAGATTTTCATACTGGGATGGATACTACTGCTGTACTGGATCTGAACGTTGGAGATTACCCAATGGATGACCTCCCCATGTCCACACAATCCAACGTCGTTGGGCAGTCATCCTCGAGAGAGGTTCGTCATCCTCAAAACTTTAGTCGTTCTGCAAATCTCCCCCTGCGATCCAGGCTGGCGGTGGTGTAAGAGAGTACCCACAGCCCTCAGGGAGGGTTCCTTTTCTAAGTTATTGGGTTTCTTCTAAAGTCGCCCCTATCCTTGCCCGTATCTAGGCGCTACACCCTAGACTTTCACTGCTTTTCACGTTCCTGGATCTATGGTGCAAACAACGTTGCTGGAGTCACTTGTTGGCTTTATTTATGGCCTCGCTACTAAGAAAATTTTGACAACCCCCAGCAAGTTCGTGGAAAGTGTTGAGGCCAACCTAAGCGGCTTTGAGAGGAATGGTTTGGACCTATCGTGGATGAGGGATAGGCTTCAGGCAATCGATGGCTTCCTTGAGCATGCAGACAATGTGGCGATGATTGCATCCTTGGAGGAGACTATCAAGGAGTGTGAGGGTGCCTTGGAGCAGCACCGATAGAACCTAGCTCAATTCAAAGAAAAGGACTCTGCATTGGTTGCTCAGTTGTCTTGGGATGTGACCCTGATGGACTCCCTCATGAAGTGCTTGATTTGATGCATTGTTGTTTTGTTATGGCTCTTTTTCTTTGTACTTTTGCTATCTTTTTTCTTTCTTCTTTTCCTTTTGGACACTGTAGTCATGCTATAGAGAACTTTGTTGTCTATGAGAAGCAAAGATATTGAGCCTTACTCTACTATCTTCCTTTCACTATCTTTTACATAACTTCTAAAGACAAGCAAAACTTGGGCCATGAATAGAACTTCATCACGACTAAGGTTTTTACATGGACAAAATTTCACTAAGTATGGAAAAAATTTCTTGCACTAAGGGTTTACAAGAGTAATAGGTTTACTAAGTGTATGATGCTTTCTTTACACTTTGATTTGGAAGTATTAACAAAGAAACTTACAACTCTTTTTTTTTTTTTCTTGAACAAAAGAAATTAAGGAAAATATTCTTTGACATAATTGGCGTTGATAGGGCCAGTTCTGAAACAATCATCTACTCTTGTCAACCTGTAATACCCGCTACTGTTTGCCTTAGCAACTTTATAGGGGCCTTCCCATCTGGGTGACAACTTGGGGATTGGTTGGCCCCGCATGATTGCGTCCACTATTTTTCACACCAAGTCCCCCTCCTTGAACTCCCTTTGTTGAACAAACTGATTGTAGGTGCAAGCTATGGACTGATGATACTTTTTCATTGCCCGCGAGGCCCGATCCCTTCTTTCTTCGGTTGCCTCTATGTCGTTCTTTCTTCTATCTGGAACAAAGTGTATTGAGACGATGACGACCTTCTCATTGCTTCAAGGGTCACCAAGCTCAGAACTCACAGAATGGTACTTCCAAATGTCGAAGAAGAACCAAGGGTTGAGGCCGAACCAGTTGCAACGACTGAGCCTGTTGCGGAGGCTGAGCCGACTGGTGAGACTAAGGTTACAGATATAGGGAGAGATCATGATGCCCCATATGTCGAAAGTGAACAAGTTTCCCCTGCTGTGGGAGTTGCAAAGGGTGTAGTTACTGAGGGTGAAGAGCCCTCAAACCTTGTTGATTATGCCCATTCTGACCTTTCCTCTATCGGTGGAGAGGATTTTCTCCCTAAGGCCCCAAGGGAAGATTGTGGCGTAAGAGAGCCGCTAGAAGTTGCACCACCTCCTTTTGAAGTTGTATCTGGTTGTTCTTCCCAATCCATTGAGTCTTCATTAGTTAAACAGACCCCACTTCCAAACATCCAAGTGGCTGAGGGGAGTGCAAGTGTAGCGGCTGCTTCCACTATTCCTACTGTGGTCCCCCAAAATTTAGACCGACTTGCAGAGGTAGCTGTCACCCTAGCCACTCATGTTGTTACTACTGTCACTGGGACCTATGACCCAGTTGCTTCGGCAACCTTCGAGCAGCTCGCAGACCTATACCCCACTCATTTTTCTGAAGTGCCAGCTAACATTGGAGTATCCCAAGATTTTCATACTGGGATGGATGCTACTTCTGTACCGAATCTGAACGTTGGAGACTACCCAATGGATGACCTCCCCACGTCCACACAATCCAACGCCGCTGGGCAGTCGTCCTCGAGAGAGGTTCGTCGTCCTCAAAACTTTAGTCGTTCTGCAAATCTCCCCCTGCGATCCAGGCTGGCGATGGTGTGAGAGAGTACCCACAGCCCTCAAGGAGGGTTCCTTTTCTAAGTTATTGGGTTCCTTGCCCGCATCTAGGCCCTACACCCTAGACTTTCACTGCTTTTCACGTTCCTGGATCTATGGTGCAAACAACGTTGCTGGAGTCACTTGTTGGCTTTATTTATGGCCTCGCTACTAAGAAAATTTTGACAACCCCCAGCAAGTTCGTGGAAAGTGTTGAGGCCAACCTGAGCGACTTTGAGAGGAATGGTTTGGACCTATCGTGGATGAGGGATAGGCTTCAGGCAATCGATGGCTTCCTTGAGCATGCAGACAATGTAGCGATGATTGCATCCTTGGAAGAGACTACCAAGGAGTGTGAGGGTGCCTTGGAGCAGCACCGACAGAACCTAGCTCAATTCAAAGAAAAGGACTCTGCATTGGTTGCTCAGTTGTCTTGGGATGTGACCCTGGTGGACTCCCTCATGAAGTGCTTGATTTGATGCATTGTTGTTTTATTATGGCTCTTTTTGTTTGTACTTTTGCTATCTTTTTTCTTTCTTCTTTTCCTTTTGAACACTGTAGTCATGCTATAGAGAACTTTGATGTCTATGAGAAGCAAAGATATTGAGCCTTACTCTACTGTCATTTCACACTAAGCACTGAGAACAAGGGACTGATCCCGTACCGTGCTACTGCCTTGACCTAGGATTCTTTTCCTCACATCGGATTCTGAACTGGAAAACTGAAGCTTGCGAGATTGCTTGGTACCCTTTTTCTTGCTACTGCTTCGCTAGACTGATAGCGCATTGAACTGTACCGTAGTATGAATAAAAGGATGCACTCAACACTGTCGCTTCCATGGTTAGTTGCTTCTAGGCACGATTGAGAAACCCGTCTGAAAGCAATATCCTCTTCGTGAAGGTATGCCAAACCTACAGATTATGTTTTCCTTGATGAAGTTGGCGACTACTGCCCCATCTTCCTTCCTCATCGGTATAGCCTCTACCCACTTGGTACTAACTTCAGTCGCTGCAAGTATGCATCTGTGGCCTTTGGATTGTTGCGGTATAGGACCTACTAGGTCAAATGCCCAAGTATGAAACAGGTAAGGGGTCTTGATGTTGTGCAGTTCAACTGCCAGTGCATGTATCAAGTTCCCAAATTTCTGTCAAGATTGGCATCTCCTTACAAAGTTTTTAGCATATTCTTCCATTGTCAAACAGTAGTAGCCGAGGTGAATAAGATGCCTATATAATCGCTGCGCTCCTTGATGCTCTGCCTTGTGGGCTTCTCTTAGCACATCGTTTGCCTCATCCTTTGATAACCACGCCAAAGAATCCCCTTCAAAGCTTCTGCAGTATAGCTTGCCTTGGTCACGGAGGAAGAGGGCTCGCCTCTTTACTCTAATTGCATCGGCTTTGTTCTCAAGCAATGTGCCATTTCCAAGATAGTCAATATACGACTACCTCCATTCCTCACTGCTTAAGAAATGGGCTTCTTCCTCTTTAGGATAGGATTGACATTTTGCACATTGCCTCTGCAACTCAGTGCTTTCCTTTTCCATCTCTGGCCAGTAATACCCTTGCCTCTTTATCCGTCGATATAGACTGATATCTCTATCTCCACAGGACTTAGCATGGATCTGCTTAAGTCTATAAGTTTCTTCTTGTCTGCCGACGCACCTTGCCAGGAGGTTGTTGGGACCGCAAAAATACAACTCTCCTACGAGGAGAAGAAATGATGCAAGTTCTGTTAGTCTGATTGTTCCTTGGCCTGTTTTCAACTGCTAGATTATATCTACTTTCCACCTCTCAGTATCTTGCTTTGTATGTTCTTTGGCAAACACTATTGGTGTTGTTCTTTTCTCGATGATGATGGCTATACTATCATCTGGTACATTCACCTTTGCCCACAATGTAGCCAAGGCATTGGGGAAACGATTGTGTGTTTGAGGGGTATGCTAGATTTGGACATCATCAAACTGAGTGAGCAACCTTTGAACTACGGTGCGATATGGGGCCAACAGGGGCTCCTTTCAGGCGAAATCACCTATTGTTTGCTTGACAACTAGCTTGGAGTCGCCCCAAATTTTTAACTTGCGGAGGCCCTTCTTTTGGGCAGCAATTAGACCCAGTATTAACGACTCATATTCAGCCTCGTTGTTTGAACATTCAAAGTCAAGCTTATATGATAGATGAAACTTCTCTCCTTCTTGACTGGTTAGTGTTATGCCATCTCCACCCTTCCCAGCTCCGGAAGCTCCATCAAATTTTAAGTCCCAATAAGTCTCAACTACAGCTGCTGAGACATGGACCTCACCTGGTAGAGGTACCTCTGCAGGTTCATGTTCACCAGATGGAAATTGGGCCAATAAGTCTGCAAGTGCTTGGCTCTTAATAGCCTTGGGAATAACACAACTTATGTCATATTCTGCTAAAGCCAAAAGCCATCTTGCCATTTTTTCTGTCAGAGAGGGCTTGCTCAACAAGTAACAGAATGGATCACTCCGGGTCACAACCTGGATCGGGTGTGTAAAAAAATAGTGGCGCAACTTCTGAGCTGTGAAGATTAAGGCTAAACATTGCCTCTCAATTGGGGTATATTGCGACTTGGCACCATTGACTTTGCAACTGATGTAATAGACTGGCTTCTCAATGCTATCCATGTCTTGGACAAGTAGAGCTCCAATAAGCTGAGGTGTAGAGGTTAGGTACAGTAGCAGAGGCTTTTTGAGTTATGAGGCAATCATTGTAAGTGGAGAGATAAGGGTTTTCTTCACTATATCAAATGCCTGTTGGTGTTCTTGCAACCATTCAAACTTGTGATTCCCTTTCAGTAGTGTCCTAAAGGAAAAGGTTATCTCCGCAAGGGCTGGAATGAACCTCATGAGGAATGACACTTTGCCTAGGAATTTCTTCAAGGCTTTTTGGCAGTGTGGTTGTGGCATCTCCATGATTGACTTGATCTTATCCCCATCTATTTGAATTCCCCGCTGGTATACAAGAAAGCCAAGGAACTTGCTAGCGGTAACTCCGAAGGCACACTTGAGAGAGTTCATCTTTAGGCAGAATTTGCGGCAATGCTTAAAAACTTTTTCCAAATCGCAGAGGTGTCGGTTTGCCTTAGTAGACTTGACCACCAGATCATCCACATATACTTCCACTTCATGATATAACATGTCGTGGAACACAACAGTCATAGCCCGTTGGTAAGTTGCCCCCCGCATTTTTCAAACCGAAGGGCATCACCGTATAGAAAAAATTTCCTAAGGGCGTTCTGAAAGTCATTTTTTCTACATCTTCTAATGCCATTTTGATCTGGTTATAACCACTGAACCCATCCATGAAGGAAAACATCTGATGGCCCGCAGTAGAATCGACAAGTGTGTCAACATGGGGCAATGGAAACTCATCTTTCAGGCAGGCCTTATTCATGTCGCGAAAGTCTACGCAGACCCTGATCAGGCCATTCTACTTCTTCACAGGCACAATATTTGCTAGCTTGGTTGGGTACTGTATAGGCTTAATGAACTTGGCCCTCTGTAACGTTTCTACCTTCGCCTTAATCTTTGCTTCAAGATCAGGGTGATACTTTCAAGCATGCTGCTTGATTGGCTTAGAGTTGGGAAAAATGTCCAGATGATAAGTGACAAGGGATGGGTCAAGACCAGGCATCTCGTCGTATGTCCAAACAAAGACGTCACCGTACCACTTCAGTAGTGTTATCAATTCTACCTTAGCGGTTGAAGCCATTGTATTGCTGATAAACACACGCTTGCTTTGCCTAGGTAAGTCGCTAAGGTTGACCTCAGCAAGTATCTCCTACTGTGGTTCGGGTCTATCTTGCATGCATTTAAGGGCGGGCTCAAGCGTCTCCACCAACCCTTCTTCGAACTCATCACCGTCACGTTTATTCGTCTCTAGGCCATCCTCCCAAGGTATGAAGTCTGGCCCCCAAAGACCGTCATAGGTAGTAAACTGTCTTGCCGTCCTCGCGCACCTTAACAATCTTTGGCAGAGGACTTGTGGACATGCTACTCCTCTTCTGCCCACTACTTTCGGGACCAACCTCTACATCCCAAATGTTTTTCCACTTCTGCAATTTTACCCCTGCAACTTTACTAGTCCTTGGAGTTTCATTCATTGACAACTCAGTAAAGAAAACTATATCCGAATAGTGTCCCTCCTCCACTCCAAATGGCTTTTCAGATGCATTTATGGTTACTGTGCGTTTTCCCAACTTTGCCTTCACGCATTGGTGATAACTTTACGAGATAGCCCCATATCGGTGCATCCAAGCTCTGCCAAGTATCATATGGTAATTTGTGTCTGCTTCAATCACATGGAACTTAGTTGGGGAACGGATCTCACCAATTGCTTAGTCCATGACAACATGGCCCTTAGTAAATTTTTTCTCACCACCAAAACCCATCACGGTGATGGGTTAGCGAACCGTCTTGGACTCTGAAATACCAGCCATTGCAAAGGTGTCAGTAGTGATGATGTTTATGGACCACCATCGAGGAAAGCACGCTTGAACTCTACATCATTGATGTAAGCTGTGACAAAAAGAGGACGATTATGAGGAAACGGGTATGCTCTGTCTGCTTCTGAGAAAGTAATAGCCCCATAATTTTCCTAGATATGCCGAGGCATATACTTCTTCGCCTCAACAACTTCGGCATGGTGCACTTTGAAAATGTAAATGAAGGTCGTTGTTGCATCCAACCTAGCAGCTTGGCTCAGCCCCAGCTATTCAAAGAAGGTGCGAAACTTAACAGAGTTTTGTAAGGCCTAAGCATGAGTATCCTCTGTGAATTTTGCCTCTATAGGTACTGTCTCTGGGAGCTAGCCGCTAGCGATTTCTTCTAACTCATCATTGTAGGACACCATGTGCACTTGATCGCACATGGGCCCAAGGTACCCAATCATATGTACATTCTTCCCCTTCTCTTTGTGGTTAGGATGAGAGTCCTTTATTGTGTCATGATTACCAGCATCTTTGAACTTCAACTCATTTGTGTCTACTTTTTTCTTGAAGATACTTTTCAAAGTCCAACAATCTCCAGTAGGGTGTCTGGTGGTTCTGTGATAGATACAATAATATGGGTTGTCTTTGTCCTTTTTGGTTGAAGGAACATCAAGCGGAGGCAAAGTAAGTTCACCATCGACTACCCATTATTTAACCAAGGCCTTAATATTCTCAAGGCTACAAGAATATGGATTCCTGTCCTCATAACTCTTCCTCTTTCGAGAGGATGACACCTCCCCTTGCGAGCGGCTCCCTCCTGCAGAGGTTACCTTAGCAACTTTACTACTGCGAGAGTAGCGGTAATTGTCATGAGATCTATGCAGAGGACCAGTGGTACTGAGGTTCCTAGCTGCCTCAACCAAGGCTGAAAAGGTAGGCAGATTATGGTTCACCAACAAAAATTTTGTAGTCGCGTATGGCACCCTCCTCACATATGCTGACTAAATAGGCCTCATCCACTGGTTCATGGCAGTCAATAGCCTTATCTTGGAACCGCTCGACATAGTCCACTATATCTTTGCCTTCTTTCTGGACTTGTCGCCCAAGTATGAGGGTTGTAACTTTCTCTTGGACTTGGAAGAACTTCGTGTGAAACTTGTTCACCATCTCCTCCCAACTCTTGATGGAGTTGGGAGCCGAGTTCACATACCAGCAGCTAAGCCCTTTCAGTAAGTGATTTGGAGAACTCCCGAAGACGCAAAAAGTGGTCACTACCATAGACACCAAGAGTTTCAATGAACCTCACCACATGTTCTCTAGCGTTGGCTTGCTTCCGATCAAACTTGATAAACTTGGGTACTGTATACCTAGTTGGGTATGGCATGACCAATATCTTCTAAGAGTATGAGGGCTTCACATCTCGGTTGGGAAGAGACGGTAGTTGCTTCTTGCTACGCTCTTGCTCGAGCATAGCTTGTACATCTGCTAAAGTAAAGCATAGCTTGTACATCGACTAGAGTAACAAAGTGAGTGGGCTAGAATGGTCCAGTCTGCTCCTGGGTAGCTGAACTAGTGACCGTACCATTCGCCAGAGGTACCTGGATTGGAGCCCAAACCTCAGGGAACAAGTTAGGCACTAGGATTGGGACTGTTACAGGTGGAGGTGCTTACGTTGCGGCTGGTCTGGACGCCATGGCCATAATAGCCTCAGTGAGAGTTTGCAAAGCTGCCAGGATCTCCCTCTACGTATTCTAGAGTGACTGGACTACCTCAACTACAACACTGTGGTTACGGTCCTCTGCATGTGTTGCCCCACCATTGGAAGAGTCTTGCTGTTGTGGGGGTTGTTGAGCTTCATCCTCTGCCATTTTTTCCAGTGAAGTGTGTAAACCACTACAGGTATGAACCATCAATGGAGTTGCCTCCCCAGCAGAGTCGCCGAAAATGTAGAGGTGTTCAAGGTTAGGAAGATAATTAGAGAGGTAAAACTATGCTAATGGTCCAAGAGTGGTGGAATGACAGGAGAATGAGCAGCAGCAACTGTCTGGAAAGTTGGAGAGTGAGCGACTGGGTGAGGATGAAGCAGGTAGCTCAAGAAGAAGACAATGGCAGTGCACAAATAGATAGTATCTCCTCTAAGTTCCCAAAATTCCTCCTCTTGAATCTTGGGAAATGGGTCTTATTTACAGGCTTTTCCTTGGTACCAAGAGGACACCAAGTGGCCAAATAGAGAGAAGGCAGGTGTCCCTAAGGATCACACATAATATTTTGCCTTGAGCCACTAGGCTGAAGGTGCCACATGTCCTTCTGCATGTACTGTGTACTATCTGTTTGCCTCCGCAACTACTTTTTTGAGCATCAACAAGTGTAGCTGCAATTGGAGTGTTTGGTACGGCAACTCCCTTTTGAGCCTTAGCAAGTGCAGTTATAGCGGGAGTGTTTGCCTTTGCACTTGCCTTCTCAGCTTGAACCTCAGCAAGTGCACTTGTAGTGGTGAACCTAGCTGCTGCACTTGCCTTCTCAATTCTATTTGGTCAGTACATGCATTCTCGGGATTCCATTAGCCTGCTATCGGCTATGTTTGTGTTCACCTCAACGAAACCTCCACCCTTAGCCACCTAACCATAAACTGCCCAGCTTCCTAGGGCAAAAACCACTGTCAAGCCTGCTATCAATCGTGTTATGCCTTAGCACCAAGCCTAAGGAGGGCTCTCTTGGTCCTGTCTATGCAACCAAGGCAGGTCCATAACTTAGGTGAATGGAAAAAGGGAGTCCCTTGTGCTCGGGCTGCCCTACTCCCATCTTCGCAGGGTAGCCGCAATATATTGGTATCTCTGGGTTTGCTATCAGTTTTAACCAGTAAGCCTTGGGACCTACTGTCAGCGCCAAGTTATTAAACTTTTGGGGGGGGGCTGCTATCAACCCTATGCTAGTAATGCCTTGGGGCCTGCTATCAGCGCCAAGCATTAGCCTCTACTCGCAGAGGGAAGCCTCTCTCAATGGCTATTATCACCTTGGTAGGATATTCCCTCTGCAACTTAGTTATTGTGGTTGCTGCGGTAACCATTTCCCGCGGCGAGTTCAGACAGTAGGACCGACAATATTAGAGATGGCGGCGCCGACAAAATGCCTCCGCAACTTGGGCGGTGCAAGTACTGCCTTTGTAACTTAGTTGCTTTTCCTCCTTCCCTCAGC